GGGCTATAGACCATGACCATGGGATCCATCGGTCATATCACATACTTCATAATTCAGAAGGAATTGACCCCCTAGAACTTGAAAACTGAAGGCCCACTTGAGGTGCCAGCTTGGAGGAAATATTTTGCAAGGAAAAAATACTGCCATTCTAGATACATTATATGCAGCAAATCAGAGACCTTTCTATGGCAGTATGTCCTTAATGGAAAGAATACACAGATCCTGGGACCAAGGGGTAGAATCAAAAGTGGCTTCACTTATCGTCACTCTCAGTGACTCACCTGGGGAAGCGTTGCTTGTCATCCCCACAATTCTGGGCTTCATAGGGTTAGAGCTCCTAAACTCCCAAAGGGTCACACTGTTGCCAAGGGACACAGCAAGGATCACATTGAGCTACAAGCTATGGTTGCTCTTGGCACTTTGAACTCCCTGTGTTTAAAAACTGGGAGGCAAGAAAGAAGCTGCAGCCTTGGCAGGGCAGTCGTCCCTAATCAGCAGGTGGAAGTAGGATTGCTTTTACACTGTGGAGGAAAGGAGGAATACACATGGAACTCCACAATTTTCTTCAGCACCTCTTGGTACTCCCTTGCCCGGCTATAACTGTAGATGACTCTGGCTTAAAAGAGTGTGAATATCAGCTGCTCAGACCCCTCAGGAGAAAATGTTTGGGTCACACCACCAAGTAAGCCAGCAGGACCTGTAGAGGTGATAGCTGAGGATGAGGGACGCTGAAGGTTAGAATAGAGAGTGAAAGGTGGGGACATGGTGGGCGCCTGTTGTGCCCAAGACTAAACGCAGTGACAGCAGCTGTAGTTTTGCTCATTCACCTTCTCAGTTTCCTGTCAGGGCAAGAGGCCCATGGGCTCTGGATGTTCTAGTACAGAGAGCTGTCAGAGAGTCTGATTTTTGCTTTCATTGTATTTTGCCAATGTCATTATTAGTTGTCACAATTTTATTTCCATCTTAAAGTCGATAGCATTTTCCCACATTTTCTCAGAGTTCTTGCGCATATAGTTCAGCTATTTTTACCTGCCTTAAAACTTTTAAGATCCTAATTAAGCATATAAATAAGTATATAGAATTATCATAAGTACTTTAAAGTAGCTTATAAAATTCAAAAGAGGTGACTTGTTTAACCTTACGCATTGTAGAAATTGTAAGTCTGATTTTAAAATGATTAAATAAGTATCAGAAATTAATGCCATTCTCTCTTTTTTTAAGGATTTATGTAGATTCTATGGCTAACTTTTTAAGTTTTTTAAAATTTAAATTTAGAATTTTTATTGAATTTATGGGGGTGCCATTGGTTAATAAAATTATATAGGTTTCAGGCGGTACAATTCTATAACACATCATCTCTATATTGTATTGTGTGTTCACCACCCAAAGTTAAGTTCCTTCCATCACCATTTATCCCCCCTTTGCCCTCTCCTACTTCCCCCACTCCCCTTTTCCTCTGGTCATCACCACACTGTTGTCTGTCTGTGAGGTTTTGTATTTTTCTTTTGTTTTGTTTTGTTTGCTTAATCTCTTCACCTTTTTTCACCCAATCCCCTTTCCTCTGACAGCTGTCAGTCTGTTCTCTGTATCCATGAGTCTGTTTCTATTTTGTTAGTTTATTTTCTTTTAGATTCCACATATAAATGAAATCATATGGTATTTGTCTTTGACTGGCTTAAATAGTTGCTACCGGTCTTTCGCTGTCAGCATGGACGTTATAAATGGTGGGTGTGATTTTCAGGTGATTACTGTATGCTTTTCTTGTCCATCAGTTACAGTGATTATATGAAACCCAAATCCAGCTCAAACCTAGTGGAATTTGTATATGCAACTGACAATTTATGTTTGTATAGCTTTTTACCAACTGTTTTAAAAATAATATATCATTTGAAATGCACTGAAAATTCTGAGTTAACTATGGCAGGTATCATTTTTTTTCCTGTCAAAAATTGAAGCTCAAAGAGACTTGGAGATTTATCCTATGCACACAGCATTAAGTGTTAGAGTTGCCTTTTGAACCCTGGGTCATCTGACTCCAAATTCCATTCTCCCAATGCTTTAAGTGACTTCCCTTCAAAATAACATCCATGAAGTTTTTCAGGCAATACACACAGTAACATCATTACAAGAAGGATCATTTCTTTTGTTTATAATTTTAAGTGATTATCTTTACTGTTAAGAAACCTGCACCATGCATGCCCTTGATGTTTTCTAGGGTAAGCCATCTGTATTAGATGTACCACCAGTAGCTGTAATGTAGCCACTGTCCATGTTGATGTTTCCTAGTTTTAAAAATTACCTCTAATTATCCAAAAGATAAATAAAATGGAAAAACAGGGAAAGAAGCACATAACATTAACTTTCAAATCAACATTCTAAATGAAAAGAAATGGTTTTCCACACAAATTTGGACTTATATTCTGTGATAAGCAGCAGACCAGTGTTCAGCTTCACACTGTTTTTCTGAAGCCCCTTTATTTATTTTTCATTAATCTGTCTCCCTTGTGTGCCTGGTGCTCAGTAATCTGCTCATCTCTAGCATGATCTATACTATAATCTATCGCTTCTCCCTCCATGCATTTTAATGAAGCAATTTTTGCCTCCTTTACATAACTGCTGTCCTGGTTCTATACTAAACATCACCATTTATTGTTACATCATTGAAAGCAAATCTTTAAAGAAATACTCCAAAATGGGATAGATGCAGATTTTTATTCCTTTTTTTTTTTTTTAAAGAGGGCTTTAGAAACTTAGCAGCATTTTCATCATTTTGTTTTTGTGGATGCTCAGGTTTGGAAATAGATATCTCCTGGACACTAATCCAAGTGGGAAAACTATTGGCAGTAAGAATCTTCCCACCACAGTTGCTGGCTCCCTCTGTCCCCTTCATGTCCCATCACTTGGCTAGGTGGTCTGAATTTCTACCCCTGGCCCTGGGTCACCCTTCTGGAACAGCTTTGGTAGCTGCAGAACCATAGAGGAACTGCGCATGTCATGCTTGTCTGTTGTTGCTGTTTGGTTTCTGTCTTATTGCTAGTGTGTCTCGCTCCTCTGTTTCCTGGCCATTGGCCTGGACTTGGACCTTCTGCTGTGCTCTGCCCACTGGTGTTTGCACATTCCAGGCTTATGTTTGTCTGTCTGGCTTCTGACCCTTGCTCTCTGTGTGAGGTCTGATTCATCTCCTGGCTCTGACTGTAGTGTCCTGGCTACTGTCCCTCTCCTGGCTGTTCTCAGGGAATAAGGGAGCTTCTTGTTCCTGACTTTTGCTTCCACATTTTGCCTCAGCCTGCTCCCATTGTTGGTCTTTTTTTCCCTTCCTAGTCTTGCCTTAGATTTCTGATTATTCTTTCTTTCAACAACCAGCTAGTAAGTGCCTGATGTGTGTTGCTGATACAAAGATAAATAAGACATAGGCTCTGACCACACCAACTAGATGATAAATAGACCCCCTCCTCCCTAAAAGGGGGAGATCCAGATTTTGTGGCACCTGAAACTTATACAAATTTTGGAGCCCTTGCCAAGAAAGAGAATGCAAAATTCTGAATATACATTTAGGAAAGGGCCTTGAAAGGAGTTTGCGAGTGGAGCCCTGAAGCTTCATTAACTCCACAGTAAATCACCTATGTGGATAAAGAATTTTAAAAAGCGGTCAAATTCTGAAATAGAAATATGCAAGGAGTATTATGAAGCCACCAAGGAAAGGCAACTAACCCACACCAGGGTGGCTCCCTGGTAGAGGTTACCTCTAATCAGTTTTAAAGGCTGAATACTATTTAACTAGACAAAGGAGACAGGGAAGGAGAAGAGGCAGGCAGAGATTCAAAGGAGAGGGCCCAGCATATAGGTAGAGACCACAATAGTGAGTCCTGGGTGCTTCCAGCAGCTCTATTTTGCTGGAGTGTGAAAGATGTAACAGGTAGAACGGGACCGTGAGATTGGAGAAGGAAGTCAGGACTAAGGTCCTGTCTGTGCCACAATAAGGATTTTGGATTTTATCAACTGTTGCTTAGATTCTCATCTCAGACAAGCCACTCTGGCAGGAAAATATACAAGTATGGATATCAGTTAGGAGATATGGCAGGAGGTGACAGCCTTATGAACTAAAGTCATAATAGCAAGAACAGAAAGAAGAGATGGGTCAAGAAATATGTAGAAGATGAGATGTCAGGCTAATAAAGGGTAGAGAGGAGCCTCTGAACTTCCTAATTTGTGTGAGTGAGTGCATTACAAGACCATCAAATGAAAAATGGGATAGAGAAGAAAAATGGTTTAAAGGGAGACAAGAGGTTTATTTTTAGGGCAACTCAGTGGAGTTGTTCTTTCAGAAAAAATGATATCTGAGTCTAAGGTGGGGAGGGGGGAGAAAAATGAGCACTAGGTGCAGATTAAAGAAGCATCAGCATATAGGTGGTAACTGAAAGCAGGGGAATGAATGAGCTAACCCAGGGAAGTCTGGAGAGAAAGGTATGCAGGAACCAAGGATGAGAACCTGGGAAGGGAGGTTGGGAAGGTGTTGGAACAAACCATGGGGAGATCAGGAGAAGCCAGTGTCACAGCAGCCAAAGAGTGTAAAACATCAACATGCTAAATGCTGCAGCCTTACAAAAGAAAGACTGAAAATGTGCATTGGGTTTGTCAGTGGGAAGTAACTGGAGATAAGAATGAGAGCAGTCATGGGAATGAGCCAGACTTCAGTAGGTGGAGAGCTGGAGCATTTGATGAGAAGTGAGAAAGGTGTGATGAGGCTGGGGCACTGTGAGGCGATTTTTCAATGAGAAGGGGTTAAAAGGTATTGGGTATGAGCTCCAGCGATTAGAATCTGAGGGATTTTAAAAAAAAAATTTTTTTTGAGGTGGGAATTACTTGGATGTTTTTCTTTTTAAGATGGGAGATGCTGGAGCATTTTTATAGCCAGAGAGGTTAAATATTCAGAAGATGGGGTACAATGTGGGATGGAACGAGATCCTATAATCTGTGACCCTGCAGAACTGTTTTTCCAGGGAACGTCGACTCCTAATCCTACAAATCCTTCTAGAAGATGAAATGGAAAGGTGACTGCTCCAGATCTGGCTGATTGGTCTTCACATCTTTTATGGTTTCTGTCAACTCTGAGATTCAGCGATTGGCTTATTGATGGCTCAAAGAAACGTAAGTGCATTTGTTGACCTACAGTGGTCCTGAGTCAGATTACCATGGAATGAGAACAGGAGGAAGTATAAAACGAGGAGGAAAGGAATTATCCTTCTCTCCAACATCCCTCTTCTGTCTGTAATCCTTGTGCCCTCCCCGACTTGCTTGACAGAGAGTTATGTGCTTCAAAGGGAACAGCATTCTTTTGGGAAAGAAAAAGATCAGGAAATGGTCAGTTTGCTTTTGCTTCTGGAAACCTGTGATTTAGGCCATTATTAAAACTGTCAGTATCCATTCCAGTGGCAAAGGAGATCAAAAGCTACATCCCAGAGGCCACCTCAAAGCTGTGAAACTGAGATCACATTTGCTAGCAGCTGAGAACAGAGAAAAGTTGGGCACTGACAATAAACCTGAAAATGCTTTATAAACCAGAACACACTCTACAAATGCCAGTTATTACCATCCTTTCTCACAGCTGTTGGCAGAAATATTTGCCTGAAGACCCCATAGTACTCAAAGCAACAGTAATTCAGAGACAATTGTATTTCTTTTTAAAGCATATGTTTTATTGCAGCATAGGAAACTAAACCTCATTTTCTGCTTAATGCCCACTTGACAGACTTGGTGGAATAGAAGTCTCCCACCATCTCTCCCGTACTGCAGAAGCATGTGCTGCAGCAGGCCTGTGACAGAGGAACCATGACACAAAATGTAAAGCACTTCGACACCCTGCCCCCTCGACTGCTGTGTGAATGATAAACATCCAATAAAAACCAGAGCACAAAAACCCAATTAGTATTAGTGTTGAAAAGACGTTCGCCCATTTCAGGGAGAAAAAAATACTACACAGTTATAATCAGGGGAATGATGAGCTATGGGCAAATAAAAATTAAGAAAACATTAGGATTCATGGTGGGTAATACATTTACCATTAGCGCTCAGAGATGCACTGAAATTAAAACAGGAACATTAAAAAAAAAGAAAAAGAAAGAAAGAAAGAAGCCAGGAACATTGTCTTGTGTGATCTGAATTTTAGAGACAAGAGAATCCAAACCCAATTATTCTTTCCCAAACCCCATCATCTGTGTCTTACTTATTGATATCTGAATAATGTATGAAGATGACTTTATTTCTCTAATTCAAAGCTTTGTTCCTGGTTAAATTCCTGAGAAAAGTAGCATTGAAAATTTATCATCATTATCCCTAAGAGTGAGTGAGTTTCTGGGTTTTTCTGTGAAGTAGGGGGATGTTGGTGTCTGCAGAGTAGGAGGGTGGGAGAGAGTAAGGCCAGGGGCAGTCGGCGAATCTCATCACAGTTTGCTTAGGACTAGGGCAGCCTGAGGTATTACGGCAGAGGTAATGGTAATTTTCCCAATATCCATCCTTCTCTGTGGTATCAGAGTCCCAGTTTTCATTTGGGGTAGATGAATCTAGTGAAAGACCATGTTTCTAAATTTTCCTGTGTCTCACTTCTTGCAGCTAGGGTTGGCCAATGAGATATAGGCAGAAGCTGTTTAGCAGAACTTCCTTAAAAGAGGACAGGACTTTAAGAAGCATGGTTTTTTGTTTGTTTTTTGCCTTCCACCTCTCTTATCCTCCATTCTGCTAGGAGTGCAGATCTGATGGCCTACAAAGGGCTGGTACTCCAGCAATCATCGTGTAAGTATCAAGATAAGGGACAGCATTGTCAGAGCAGAAAGCTGAAAGGAGCTTAGGTTCCTGGCGACAATAGGGAGTTCCCATGCCAGCCCTATGCTGCTCACCTTTGAATTTATCATTACATAAGCAAGAAATAAGTCTTAGACAAACCACTCTTTTTTTCAAGTCTCTGCTACTCACAGTTTTACTTTTCCTAACTGATGCAGATGTAGATATGTTTTGTAGCACACACACACCCCCCAAAGTAAAAGAAAAGGCAATTTAAAAACCATGGGCAGCCTGGCCGGACATGGCTCAGTGGTTGAGCATCGACCTAGGATCCAGGAGATCACGGTTCAGTTCCCAGTCAGGGCACATGCCTGGGTTTTGGGCTTGATCCCCGGTCGGGGGCATGCAGGAGGCAGCCGATCAATGACTCTCTCATCATTAATGTTTCTATCTCTCTCTCTCCCTCTCCCTTCCTCTCTCTGAAGTCAATAAAAATATATTTAAAAAAACAAAAAAAACAACAGCAACAAAAAACCCTGGGCAGAGTTCTATGTCCACTTCTAGACCCTACAACCAAAGATGGATATGAACAACTTGGTAAAGTTTCAAAGGAGAGCCCCCTTCCAGACACACATAGATATGCATTACTTTACCCAAATGCATTTATCAGGCATGTGATTACCGAGTATTCCACTGAGTTTCATGATAGAAATATTTCTTGTTTTCAAATAGTTCACAGTCTGTGATAGATCACGTAGGCGCAGGCATGATAAAATATTTGAAAAACAGTAGCTGCAAAGACAAGTTAAAAAGACTAGACGTATTTGGAGAGAATATAAAAAGTGATATAGAATGTCTATCCAAAAGGCTTATTGCACAAAGAATTTTGACCTGGCAGTTCACATATCATGTGAAAACAAAATAAGTAGAAATGATACTGATAAAGAAAGGATATTAAGTGAAATGGGAGTTCAGAGGTGGATTTACTGAGAAGCCAATGAAGTTTACCCTTCAGGGCCCCTCATTTGCATGCACCCCTTCCAAGGTCTCAGGAGATATGCTAGACATACATTCATATGCTCTTTTTTTCTAAAATTTACAAAACTAATACATTTAAACCATAATCAGTTCAGAGTACTGTTTCTTGCCGGTTAAACTTTCCCTGTGTCACACTTCCTCTTATGTTGGATGATGACAGAACAACTGAGGCATCTCTGGGACCCAAATAAGAGGAAGTTGAGCTAAGGATGCCTTTAGTTTGCATTTAGTGGGACATAGTTCTGAGGGTCACAATCACGTCAGTGTGTCGCTAAGTTATTTCTAGCCATGTATTGTAAGAGTGGCTTCCAGTAATACATTCTGCCGCCCACTGTGGCATCATGACATGAAGGTGTGGCCCTAGAAGTCACATAGTGATAGGAACATGTCCTACAGCTTCCAATACAAGAAGTATTTGAGCAGCAGAGCAGAACCATGCTTGAAATGTACAGATCCCGAAGCTACTCTGGAAAATTCTTTCAATCATCTGTACAGACTTTTTATAAAAAAATTGTGGTAAAATAGACGTAACAAGCTGTACCATGTTAATCACTTTTAAGTGTACAGTTCAGTGGCATTAAGTACATTCATATTGTTGTGCTATCGCCACCATCCATATACAGGACTCTTTTCATCATGCAAAGCTAAAGCTCTATATCCATTAACCAATAACTTTCCTATTCCCCTCTCCCATCATCCCCCCAGCAAACACTATTCTACTTCCCATCTCTTTGAATTTGAATACTCTAGATACCTCATAAGTGGATATAGCATTTGTCCTTTTGTGATTGGCTTATTTCACTCAGCATAATGTCTTCAAGGTTCATCCATGTTGCTGTAGCATGTGTCAGAATCCCCTCATTAATGCTGAATAATATTTCTTTGCATGGGTAGACCACATTTTGTTTATTCATTCACGCATTAATGGACACTGAGATTGCTTTCACCTTCTGGCTTTGTAAAATAATGCTGCTATGGACAGAGGTGTATAGATATCTCTTCAAGACCCTGCTTTCAATTCTTGGGTACACCTTGCCCAAGATCCCTGATTTCTTTTTCTTCTGGAGGAAATCATACCACTTTCCCTGAGTTTTTTTCAGAGGTACTCCTTCTCTTCTGAACATCTTTTCTGTTATGGCCCCTCAAAAATAGATACTAGAGCCATTAGCAGCCAAAAGCCTAATTCTCCTTTCCTGGTAAGGCAAGAGGGGGTGTTAGTCTTCAAGTCTTCCCAGGAGACTGAGAGAAAACATTTGTATTCTATCCCTTTAAAGCAGCAAAGCAAGGGAAGACATACCACACAGTTCACTTGCCATATTAAAAGAGTCTCAGTATTCCTATCCTGGCACATAAATAATAAGGATTAATAGAAATTTAGAGTTGTAAGTGAGCTTAGTGATCCTCTTGTCAACCTCTATAATTTTACAGATGAAGCATGTAAAATCCCCAGAGGGTACTTGATGCTGCTAAGGTCACGGCCTGGGGGCCACAGAGCCAGGCCCTACTCCAGGCCTCTTAGTCCCCGGTCAAGAGTGTTTTCTCTCTGTCACATTCACATTGGATATGGCAAGGAAGTTTCAGATAGAGTTGTTGAATGCAATATTAATACTACTTTATAAAAATCGATTTAGAAATTTTGCTGGAGGTTTTAAAGAATCGAGGACATTCTCATTTATTTGAGTTGGCTTGAGTCGGGCCTGCCTGGAGGTTTCAGAAAAGGCTCTTGATGAATTTTCAAGATCCTTTTAGCTTTAATAGTGTATGATTTTCATTCATCTATCCTCTTTAGCAAGAATTTCTTGAGGCATCTTCTATAAACAGAACATCATATTGTGTACACAGAATAAAATAAAACACGGAACTCTCAGCTCTGGCGTGGGCAGACCCCTGCCATTCAGGTGTCTAAGCAAAAATACAGGCTGTCCAGGGTAGGAGCTATGCACGGCCAGTGACTGAGTAAAATCTTTGTTGCCAAATCCGCTGTTAGAGCTGTGTTCTCGGTAATGGAGGTGAACAAAACACACAAATACAGTGGGTTTGGTTCACCTAAAAATGAGGATACGTGGTGGTTGTGATTTCTTGCTGTCATTGTCAAAAACTCCTGCTGATTGGAGCAAGTGCCAGTTGTTATTTCTGGTTCCACTGTGTTGGAAAGAGGAGATGTTCAGTTTCCCTGGCCTGTTAATGAACAGCCATGTAGGTTAAAACACACACACACACACACACACACACACACACACACACACACGAGAGCCCTCTGGGAGTTTAATATCCAGTTGGGGAGTAACCACCATTCCTTTGCCCCTCACCAAAACACGGACACATTTAATAATTAGTACTTGGCACTTATCAAAATTATGATACAGAGAATTGAATGCCATAGCATCTGTGTGGGGAAAAAATGCTCAATGGACCAAATTCTTCTCCTTAAATTGAAATGTGTATTAAGATCATCTTACAGATACTTAGGAGCCATAAGCCATTATTTTGAGTGTTTTTCAAGGTAGGCCCCCCAACCACATTTAGGTTCGAGTGCATATGTATGCAGGTGACCTGGATGGTAAAGCATCCCCTTGGTGGGCAGGGGCTACAAACAGAGAAACTAATGCAGAGATGGCTAGTGCCCCAGCTTGGGTAGGAGGAAAGAATCAAGGTAAATATCTTGAAATTAGCTGCATTCTTTTGTTCAGGATTTTAGCCGCATTTTTTTGAGTGGGGTAGGGGAGAAGCATGCACAGTTGTGTTATTCTAATCTTCAGTCTTCAAAGGACAAAGCAAAATGAATATGTTTTTAGAAATACATACTGATTTCCTCTATTCCCTTCTTTGCCCTGTCCCCATTCAAGCCTCTGGGAAGTTCTGGGCAGTTTAGACTCTTAGCCCTGGTTATGTGTGTGTGCTGAAGGGTGGGTGGGGAGAGACAGAGGGAATTTGATGGGAGAAGAGAGCTTGGTGAATTCCAGAGAAAGAGTCTCTGCATCTGCTTCCTGAGCAGAGTCCTAGGAAGTTGGTAAAAGCCTTGAAAGCAAGGAAGCCATCTGAGACTGAAAGTTTCCCTGTTATTTTAAGAGTCCTAAAGAGGTTGAAAGACCAGAAAGTGTC